TTTTTAAAAAAAGAGGTAGGAGGATTATTTCATAATTGAGGTTTTGAAACTATTTATGGCCTGTGATGGAAATGTATATGTATTAAAGAACTATATTGTTGTTATTAAGAAAGTCAGGTTATAGCTTAAAAACTTCTATTCATTTTTATATTTATTGTTCTTTGGCTTGTCAACTATTATTATAACAGAGAATGATTCTTCTTCAAGCAAATAGTCATAAAATTTACATGGAATTACAGAAGACCCAGAATTGCCAAAGCAATACCGAGGAAAAAGAATGAAGCTAAGGGCATAACCCTCCCAGACTTCAGACAATACTACAAAGCTACAGTAATTAAAACAGTGTGATATTGGCACAAAAATAGATGTATGGATAATGGAAACAGAGGGTTCAGAAATAAACCCACACACATGCAGTCAATTAATCTTCAACAAAAGAGGCGAGAACATACAATGGAGAAAAGACAGTCTCCTCGGCAAGTGATGCTGGGAAAGCTGGACAGTCACATATAAATCAGTGAAGTTAGAACACTCCCCTGCGCTATATGCAGAAACAAACTCAAAATGGCTTAAAGACTTTAGACATGACACCATAAACCTCCTAGAAGAGAACATAAGCAAAACATGTGACATAAATCGTTAACAGTGTATTCCTTGGTCATTCTCCCAAGGCAATAGAAATAAAAGCAAAAATAAACAAAAAATGGGACCTAATCAAATTTCTCAGCATTTGCACAGCAAAGGAAACCATAAACAAAACGAAAAAACAACCTATGAAGTGGAGAAACATTTGCAAATGATGCGACTAACAAGGGCTTAATTTTTAAAATATACAGACAGGTCATACAACACAATAATTACAACAACAAAAAAAGCCCAATCAAAAAATGGGCAGAAGACCTAAATAGACATTTTTCCAAAGAGAACTTCCAGGTGGCTGATAGGCACATGAAAAGATATTCAATATCACTAATTATCAGAGAAATGCAAATCAAAACTACAATGAGGCATCACCTCATATCAGTCGTAATGACCATCATTAAAAGTCCACAAACGATAAGTGCTGGAGAGTCTGTAGAAAAAAGTGAAACTTCCTACACTGTTGATGGAAATACAATTTGATGCAGCCAGTATGGGAAACAGTATGAAGATTCCTTAAAAAACTGAAAATGGAGTTGCCATATAATCCAGCAGTCTCAGTCCTGGACATATATCCATAGGAAACTCTAATTTGAAAATATACATGCACTCCAATATTCATAGCAGCACTATTTACAATAGCTAAGAATGAAAGCAGTCTAAATGTCCATCAACAGGTGATTGAATAAAGATGTGGCATACACACACACACACACACACAAAATGAAATAATATTCTGCCATAAAAAAGAATGAAATATCATATGCTATCACTTATTTGTAGAATCTAAAATAAGATACAAATGAACTTTTACAAAACAGAAACAGACTCACAGACATAAAAAATAAATTTATGGTTGCCAAAGGGGAAAGGTAGGGAAGGGATAAATTAAGAATTTGAGATTAGCAGATACAAACTGCTGTATATAAAATAGATAATTAATTAATTAAATAGATAAGCAACAATATCCTACTATATAGCACAGGAAAATATATTCAATACCTTGTGATAACCTATAGTGAAAAAGAATATGAAAAAAATACATATGTACAACAGAATCAGTGTGCTGTACACAAGAAACTAACACAGCATTGTGAATCAACTGTACTGCAATTTAAAAAAAGTAATTCATTGGTAGGAAAAAAAAAAACCCAATTTAAAAATGAGCAAAGGACCTGAATAGACATTTTTCCGAAGAAGATATACATGTGTCCAACAGGTATGCAGTTAATTGCTCAGTGTATTTAGTCATCAGGGAAATGCAAATCAACCACAGTGAGTGGTGCTGTTAATCAAAAAGACAAGAGATAGCAAATGCTGGCAAGAATGTGGAGAAACAGGAACTCTGTACACTGTTGGTGGGAATGTAAACTGATATAGCCACCATGGAAAACAGGTGGGGGGCTCCTCAAGAAATTAAAAATACGAACCAGCAGTCCCACTCCTGGGAGTATATCCAAAAGAAACAAAATCAATATCTCAAAGAGATAACCTGTACACATACATTGTAGCATTATTCCCGATGCCCAGGGTTTTCAAACAACCTAAGAATGGATGGATAAAGGAAATGCAGTGAGTATTACTCAGCCTTATAAAAGAAGGAAATCCTGCTATTTGCTACACCATAGATGAACCTGGGGGGCATTACGCTGAATGAAATGTATCAGAGAAAGATAAATACTGTATATCATCACTAGTATATATATTCCATGATATAAAGATTTCCTACAAATCAAAAAGAAAAATGCAAACAACACAGTAGAAGAAATACATAAGAGATTTTTAAAACACAAGAGTCTACATTACTGGTAAATTTAAATTTATTGAAAGTATTGAAGTAGGTAAGTATTTATTACAATTAATGGTAAACAAGATAATTTTCTCAGAAAGCAGAAAAATGCAAATAAAGCTTACCCTGGGCTGGATCTTATACCCTGCAATTTGGCAGTAATTAAGAAAACTGGCAACATCATCTGTGAATGAGGATGGAGAACAATGTGAACTCATTAATGCTGTTACACTGCCTGTAAGAATATGAATTGGCACAACCACTTTGCAAAACAATTGTAGTAATTCAAAATTTAGAGTTAAATTTGCGTATGTCCTATACACACACATACAGACAACACTTGAGAGAAACCTTTGCTGTAGGAAACTGTTAATAGTGGAATCATCCACAATGGGAACAAACTGGAAACTACATATATATGTAAACTCCGAGTTACGCGTACAGTGAATTACTGCACACCTTTTAATGGAATAGGTTACAAAGTTTATAGTGATAGAAGGAAATCAAAGAAGAGTGCTGATTCCTTATTGTGAAGAATATGAGGATTGTCTAAGGCAATAACAATATAGTGAATTGGGACTAAAAGTAACATTCTTAATTGCTATGTCAAAATGCTGCCTAGTGGTGTTTGTACTCACTAGTTGTTCCCTCTGTTTGGTATGTTCTTCCCCCAGAATGTCTTTATGTTAGCTCTGAATTCTTATTTCTGTTTTGATAAGTCATCTGCTCAGAGATGCCTTCTCTCTTGAGGCAGAGCAGTCTGTTTTCACCATTTGAAACAGTGCCTGGGTCATAGTAGAGGATTTATAGTGAAGGAGAAACAAGAATAAACAATACAAGAGTAACAGCTTACATTACAAGCATGATTCGAACGTTTGAAATTGGGGAAAGAATGGAGGTACAGAAGTAATCTAGCTATTTACTGAAGAGCAATCAGAAATGAAAATAAAGCATTTCAGAATTAAGTCATTTAAATATTTTATACATACCTTTTTAAAGGTAACCATTATTTTATTAAGAATCATAGTGTCCTGTTTGATCAAATTAGAATATAACATACAAATTTGTTACATTATCCCTTTCGAAAGCTGTAGAATATTCACAAAACCATTTTTAACAGAAGATAATAGATTCTATTGTAAAAATGGTTTATTTATCTGTATATTGTGGGGAATTGCATATATGTGTTCATGTGCTTATTAGATTTACAAAGTATAAAATATGTTCTTTATTTTATAAATATGCATGCTAAGGAAAAGAAGTAAAACTAATTGCTATGAGATGAAAATTAATTATAGTATCTTTATCTCCTCAGATGTACAAAAAAGTAGAGAATCGAAATATACTCACTGTGGACAATGTGAAGAGTGTTCTCCAAAGTACATTTCCTCATGCTAATATTTGGGATATTTTGGGAACTTATTCTAAATATGATGGTAAAAGAGAGGTAAGTAGGAATGAAAATGTTTAAAAATGTGATCAAGAAACTTTTATTATAATATGAATAAATGATCTCAATATAATTAACTCATGATTTAGCTTTTAGACCCTCAGAAAAAAGCCCTTAGACTCTCAGAAATCTATACCTTTGAATAACACAAATTGTATGCAGAATTTAAGTTGCCATTATTGACTTCAAAAGTACAAAAAAAGGTACTTCTCAGGCTGTACAGGATAGAAAACTACAAAAACAATCTTAAAACATTAACAAAGTGGCAAAAAGTACATACCTATCAGTAATTCCTTTAACTATAAATGGACTGCACAGGGAAATGTATTCAATATGTTGTAGTAGCTTATGGTGAAAAAGAATATGAAAATGAATATATGTATATTCTTGTATGACTGAAGCATTGTGCTGTATACCAGAAATTGACACAACATTGTAAACTGAGTATACCTCAATTAAAAACAAAACTAAATGCTCCAATCAAAAGACATAGAGTGGCCAAATGACCCACATATATGCTGCCCACAAGAGACTTCAGATCTAAAAACACATGCAAACTGAAAGTGAGGGAATGAAATAGATATTCCATGCAAACGGAAATGAAAAGAAAGCCAGGATATGTGGGAGGTAATATCTTAGTATGATGACAGATTGTAACAAGACTTATCGTGGTGATTTATTTTGAAATGTATAGAACTATCAGGTCACTATGTTGTGTAACAGAAACTTACATGGGTAAATTATACTTCAAAAAGAGAGAAACAAACTCATAGAAAAAGAGATCAGATTTATGGATACCAGAGGTGGAGGTTGGGGGTAGGGATAGTTGTGTGAAGGCAGTCAAAAGGCACAGACTTCCAGTTGTAAGAAAAATAAGTACTAGAGTGTAACGTACAACATGATAAATATAATTAACACTGCTGTATGTTATATATGAAAGTTGTTAAGAGGGTAAATTCTAAGAGTTCCCATCACAAGGAATACTTTGTTCTATTTCTTTAATTTTATATCTGTATGAGAGGATGATACTAACTTATTGTGATAATCATTTCATGATGTATGTCAGTCAAATCCTGATGCTGAACACCTTAAACTTACACAGTGCTTTGTGTCAGTTATATCTCAGTGAAGCTGGCAAAATAAATTAACGTAGAAATAAACATAAAGTACATTCCTAAGAACAGTTGGATAGGAATTTTTCAAAGAATTTATTTAACTTTAATATATTTATTTAAAATTTAAAATATTGTTCATAATCTAAGTTGTATGTGGAAATAAATGGATTCATTTATTCGTATCTATTCTAGGTAAATGCAGCAGCAACATATGATGATACAAATGAATTTAAGTTGAGAAATTTTTTTAACATTTTTTATTGATTTATAATCATTTTACAATGTTGCGTCAAAGAGAAAATTTTATATAACCAGAACGTACTACTTACTATCAGTTGCCATAAAAATACCTTCTGAGTAACACTATGTTATCCTCAAGTACTGGTATTCACAACCCAGTATGACTGTTTCCTGTTAACTGCCTTATTTATACATACTATATTTAGATGTAAATGTCACTTCTAACTGGACTGTAAGTACTTCAAGGAAAGGAATCTTGACTACTTATTCTTTTGTATTCCTCGACTTTGCACATGTCTTAACTTTTAGGTGTTTGTTATTTGTTGAGATTCTGTTATACTAATTGAGGATTCAGGTCTCTTCCACCACCTGAGCTTCACTTGGTTTCCTCCAGTCCCAGTAGTATTACTTAATGATACTACTCAAAATATTTTCAAACTGTTGTGGCTTCAAGAGCAAACAATCAGAAGGAATCAGTCAGAGCAGATTCTCAAACTGGAGTAGAGTCTTGGAAGCCCTCATGCTGAGGCAGATATTAACCCCCTTATAGCTGGATCACGTTGACGTAATGTCTGGGAAAGAGGTCAAGGTGGTGGTTCTCATGTGGGAAATCGCCATCCCAAGACAGCAGTTATTTACCAACTGGTGCAAAAGTATTTCAATACGGTAAGAATTGGTAAGGCCTGTACAGTTGCAGACCAGCTGATTGTCAGGTCTGTATTTAGTACATTTTGGTTAAATGAATAGTGAGTGAGTGTGTGACTTTCTAAGTGTTTTTTGTTAGTAAGTCAAGTACTATGATTCTGTTTTTAAGAACTTATTTTTTAGCTTTAAGGGTTACTCCATTTTTTTACTTATTCACATTGTTTTCCACCTATTGCAAATGTATCTAGACAGGCAGGAGATTGGTCATATTACCTACCTAGAATTTTCCTTACACAAAGAAAGATAGCCATTAATAAGCCAGCACTTTTCCCCACACAGACACAACCCCAAGAATGCCGTTCTGTGGCCACCCTTCTCATTCTTCAAATGGGAATGCTTCATTTTCCTCTTAGAAGGAACATACGTGACATATGGAAGGGTATAGATGTGGGAAGTGAGGGGACAGGATATGTCTAGAGATAGGACATGGTAACAGACTGAGCTGAAAGAATGTGGACTTACCTCCAATCTCCTGTCTGGTTTTCATCCTCTTTTTCAGTTTTCCACTATACCAGGAATCCCCAAATCTAGAGCCTGTGTGATTCAGTCTCAACAGAGAGTAAAAGAAAGCAGAACAGTTGGCTTTTCAGGGTTGAGAGAGGGGCCTTGATACGCACCTGCTCTGTATACAGACTCTCAACAAGTTTCCACGTTTTCTACTCTACTCCTTATCCTCTCCTTCTGAGGTGCTCTCAGGGCACCCCTCAGGAATTCTGAGATCCTTCCTTTCTGTCTTCTCGACAGTGATGTCCGTTTCTACTTCGGTCATCTGCTCTTTATCTTTTTCTCCCATTTTTCTTTGTGGGCTCGTATCTTATTACTGTTGTTATCATCATCACTGTTGTCATGACTTTAACTATTATACTCTCATTTTGGTGAAATTTGTGGAGAAGTGATAAGCATGGTAGACTTCTACCATGTTTAATCAGAAATCCACTTTTACTCTCTGTCAAGTTAAGCTGCAAAATAAATTCTAAGGTGTTACCATTTTAAGATAACTTCAGTCATTTTCTCCTGAAATCGTGGAAAACATTAAGAATTTTTATGAGGATTAAGAATTTGATGCACTCCTCAGAAATATTAAATTCCATTTTTTTTAGTGTGTGAATGCAGTCTTCTGTTTGCTCCTTTTTCACTCCTCTCTCCCCCTAAGACTGTCTTGTAATTATGATGTCTTCAGTTACTTAACTTCTCCATTTTTCCCAAGTCTGCTTAATCTCCAGTTTAAACTGGGCTCTGTGTTTTAGTCGAGCTTGATTTTCTTCCTTCCCTGTTCCTCCCAAAAGTTATTCTAAACATTCATCAGTCCTATGAGCCTCCTTTCCACCTTCCTTTTCACTCATTGAAAATCATTCTGACTCCTACGTCACAAAGAAAATAAAATGTTTAGGCCTTTATTCCCTAAACTTATATTCCTGAAAGTTATCCAAAGTTTGCTTGTACTTTCAACAAATATTTAGAGTACTTACAATGTTCTAGAGACAAGAGATAAAAGAATAGAGTACAAAGATCTTTTGAAAATTAGAAATAAAATAAAAATCTAATAGAACAAACAAAAAAGACATGAAAAATAAGGGTAAAAGTCAAACAATTGGAGATTCAATCCAGAAGATTCCGATAAAACATAAAACAAAGAAAAGAAAAGCATTAGAGAAATGATAAAAGAAATTCCCCAAATTGATGGACATGAGTATTTATTGAAAGGGACTCACCAAATACACAACACGTAGAATGAAAGAAGAGCTTTCTTGGGGGTTGGAGGCTGGAGAATAAGGAATACTTCCTGAAGCAGTGACCTGAAAGCTGAGTCCAGAAATAGAAGGAAGAATCGTATGAAAGAAAACAAAGCGGTGGGACAGTGGGAGATCAACCTTTCAGAGAGATGTTAGGAGGTCCTGAATTGTGAAGGAACCAAGAGAATTGGTGTTGCTGCTGATCAGATATAGCAAGTATGTGTTGGGTTTGTGTTGTAGAAGAAAGTTTGTAAGATGAGGCTGGAGGTGTACGCAAGGGGCCTAATTACATAGGATCTTGTTAACAATGTTTACTTTGAACTCAGAACAGTAGAAGACCTTGGCAACAGTGAAAAACCTGAAAAGATATTAAGCAGTGAAGTGACAGTGACATGCTTTTTTTTTCAAAGAGCGTTCTCCATTGTTGAGACTAGATTGTCGTAGAGTAAAGTGTATGTGGCGAGACGGACAGGAAGCGTGTAGTTGAGAGATGGGCTAGTAGGCTTTTGGAAGAAGTACAGGCAGAGAAGAATGGACACAGTCGTGCTATTTGGAAGGTACGATCTAGGACCTGCTGCTGGATTGGAGAGGGGAGAGGGGAGGAGGGAAATTGTCGAGGATGGCTCCCCAGGTTCAGCCGACTAACTGAGAAAGTTGTGATGCCATCGCCAATACAGAAAGGAGTAGAAGAGAAACCAGGTGGGAAATAAGATCAGAAGTTCAGTTTTTCACATACTGAATTTGAGGTGCCTGTGAAATTTCCAGAAGAGATGTGAAATAAGTGATTGGATATATGTGTCCATAGCTCAGAAGAGAGGTGTGGGCTGAAAGTATAAAATTCAGTGTTACTGGCTTATTTGTGGTAATGGAAAGGTTGCCTGATTGAGAAATGACAAGGTAAATCAGAAGATAGCCGGTATTTATAGCAGCTCTATCCTAACCCTAACCCTGAGGTCCAAATCTGTGTATTCAGATGCCTGGTGGGTGGCCCATAAGCATCTTAAGTGAATTTAAAAGCATGCCTGTCATCTTCCCTTTAACCCCAAACCTTTTTTCTTCTTTATGCCCTATCCTAGAGGGTGGCACCATCATTCTCCCAGGGCACTCTGGCTATGACTTCTTTCCCCTCATACACTTCCAGATAATAGACCATCGAGTGCTGCCAGTTCAGCCAGCTCAGTGTTTCACAAACTGCCCCATTCTCTTCTTGCTTATCATGACTGATTTCTGTTCGGCTCCTGTTTTTTCTTTCCTGCGCTTTTGCATTAGCCCCTGGCCCACTGTCCCAGTGCACACTCTCCCACCCTCTTCCTTCTCGTTGTTGCCACTGTGTTCTTTTTTTCTAAAAAGCAAATCTGATCGTATTATTTGTCATGAACCCTCTTCCTAGATAGAGTTGACCACGCCCTCCATGATATTCCTGGATATCTATTCACACTTGTTTTTAATGTATCCATCTTTCCCCCTATTAAACTGTAAGTTTCCTTAGGACAGCGTTTGCATATCATTCATATGCATTCATAAGCCTAGTACACAGTGCCCAGTAAGTGCAGAGATAATATAGTCCAGTGGTTAAGACTCTTGGCCAGACAAATATAAGTACAAATTCTGTTTCTGAAATACAGTAGTTATGTGGCATTGGAAGTGACTTCATCTCTGTATGTTTCGTCATCTGTAAAGTAGTACTTAGCTTCACAGGCTTATTGTGAATATATTGGCTGTAATAATGGTTCTAATAATATGTAGTGTTGACTACTGGATGAATTGTTTAGTGATGTTTTACCTCTCACAAGATAGAATCCAGCTGTTGAGGACCCTCATGCTTTGAGCTGTCTACTCACCCCTCTGACCCCATATCCCCTCCCCACTGTGAGCCCAGAAAACTACTTGCCAGCACCTAAATATACCATGTTCTCTCTTCCCCTCTATTCTTCTCAGTGCTCTCTTTGCACTTAGGGTTTCTTTCTGCGCTTTTATCTCCCTAGCAAATTTTTGCTCACCCTTTAAGACTTTGAGTGTCTCTCCCTAACAGAGGCCTTCTGTGATCCCCTCTTCGCCACACTCAAGCTTAGTCACTTCTTTTCTGGACTCCCACAGAGCCTGGTATATGCCTCTGTTTTGCTTGTAAGTATGTGAGACCCTTGAGGGCAGATTTTTCAGCTCTGTGTTCACAGGGTCTAGCCAAATGCATGAATTCAATAAATGTTTACTAAAAACTGAATACAGGGGATAGATGAATCTCTTATGCAGGTAAATGCATTTTTTAAGTAATGTCATACTCTCTATCATGAGCAAGCAAGCTACAGCCCACGAGCCAAATCCAGCCCTTCCACTGCCTATTTTTATCAATACAGGTTTTTGGAGGCATAGCCACATTCATTTGTTCATGTGTTGTGTGTCATCGTGATTGAGTAGTTGTGTAAGAGACCAGATGGCTCACAAAGCCTAAACTATGGGTCTTCCCCTTTACAGAAAAAGTTTCCTGACGTGTTCTGTGTAGGTAAATTATTTTCCTTTAAATAATGTTTGGAAAGGACAGATAAACTTATCAAAATTAACATTTTTTCTGTGGCGTACACAAATGTGGCAGTGTCCCTTTTTTGTGTATTTCTTTTTCAGACAGGCATATTCTGTCTAACACTCTGGTATTTTAAAATTATTTTTTAATTGAATAGGCAGGAGCAAACTTTTATAAGATGACGGGCCTGGGTCCTTTGCCTCAATCTCTTTACAATGGTGAACCCTTGCAAGATGAAGATTTTGCAGAACTAGAAGTGGCTATTCTTCAAAGAATGGTGGATACAACTGTAGAGTTACAGGATTACGTTCTTACGGTAGGTAAGCATGTATGAGAAAATACATGATGAATAATGCCTTATAAATGATGTTTATGTTAAAAATATCTTTTAATAGCAAAAGTTAGTTGTGTAAAAATTTCCATTCTGATAATTTAATAGTGATTTTTAGAGTAATAGTTAATTTTATCTGTGTATAATTACATCTAAAATTGCCTAATAGGAAAGAAAATTCAGTTTTATAGGAAAATTTATTATAAGAATTCTAATAGCATATTATTTATTGACTTATGGTAGATTAAATAGTCTTTAAATGTATTCTCTGCATCATTTTAAAACATATGCATATAAATTGTCTGTATTACCTAAATAATATTTGTTATTGTAGGGCATATTAAATGATCAAACAGATACAGTTGACTTCCTTATGGTTATGAATAATGCTGTACCCCGCATAAATCCTTTGATTTTGCACACTGAATGGCGGTACCTTAATTTAATATCTACATCAGGTAAAATAATCCTTCCATATACTTTTCTACAAATGACTACTGAATTGTGAATGTTTCATTAATTCATTATTTAACATTTAATGTTAAAATTTTCAGTAACTGCTGACATTGAAGATTTTTCTACTTTTTTCTTCTTGGATTCACAAGATAAGAGTGCTGTAATTACTGAGAACATGCATTATTTAACCCCAGAAGGTAATAGGCATATTTTATTTTCCTGAATTTATCCTAAAGTAGCAAAAACTTGTAATTTTATTAAATGCTTGCATAACACATTTGTAAATGTTGATATTTGACTAGAGACCTGGTTTTCGATTTAAGGGTTTGTACATTGTCAGGATATAAGGATTGTGCTTAGAAAATGATGCCTCCTAATTAATGCCCTTTGGTTAAATCCCTTGCAATTTAAAAGGATACTTTGTTAACTGAGAAACACCTTATTTCTTTATTTGGATTTATGTAAATGTGTAAAGAAATAGTAGAGTTGTGAGAAATTTACCTAACACTTTTGAAATACTTCTCAATTTACTAATTGTAATGGTAAAAGTGCTGATAGTAAGAAGGCATCAGAATTTTTTACCTTTTCTTCTTTGAAAA